GTGTTCTGGCCTTCCGCTGAACTTACTACACAACTCCACAAAGTTATTAGAACTTCAATTACTTGTTGAAATACAAACGTATCACAAAAGAATTTGCTGCCATTAGGAAGCAGAGCTAAACATTAGTACTTTTACTAACATAAGTAAAGTCATTCAAAAGCCTATGTACAGGCATAGCTAGAATTTCACATTTCTCGGCTTGCAGGGATGCATAGTGTGAACAAAGAGATATAAGGTTTGACCAACAGCAGAAGAAATCATCCAATCTTTTTTCCACTGTGGTTTTAACTCCTTGATCTCCTAAAGCACATCCTTCACATTCCACAGGTCAGAGGCACATCATTCCCTTCAACACAACAACATATTAAAGCAACATTGTTCAAATCACTGAAAGATAATGCACTTGCACCATCTGCAGGTTTGACAAAACAGAGATGTCACAGGATATATCTACCAGCAACACTAACACTTTTTGCCCCCAGCTGGGCTGTAATGTTGCAATTACCAATTACAAGGGAAAAGAGCTGTTATTTTTGTTTAGCAGAGCTTATTTTGAATTAATCTGCTTTTGCTTTAGGATCCAGCTTAAGAAATCTTCAAATGCCATATTATAAAAGGAAAATCCTTTAAATGAAAAAAACATAGTCAAACAATGTAATATCAAAACCCTAGACTGATTTTATATGCTGAAGATACTGTTTATAGGCAAATCCACACCTCTGGCTGGTCTGTAGGCATGTATTTAGGCAAAAGGTGCAGGAAGAACAATAATTAAGCATCAGAACACAACTAAAGAGAAGCTGTTTTACTCAGTATTCCTCCTTTGTCTTCCTGAAAGGGCCCGCACACCTGTGATGCCCAAGCTGAACTGCAGCAAGAAAGTCTTCTAGTGAGACACTGAGGTATCAGATGTCACAGTATCGCCACCCTCCTTTCATATAACTGAAAGTGCATTCACCATAAGAAAACATTGGCATTCTCCATCAAATGATGAGGTCAAAAGCCTTAGTCACATAACAGGACAGCATCAGAAAATCCCCAAGGAAGAGGGCAGCAAGAAGTAGACTATTTATTTTTATGGGCCAGATCCAATCTGCAGGCTAGCCCTGAACAAAAGCTATCTGGTCACCAATTGCTGATAGCCTACTGTATCTCAGATAAATAAAGAAGCATTCAAAAATAAATAATGAAACTAAGCTGATTTGCTAATCCTCCATTTTCAGCAGAGGCTCTGGGCCAAATCACATTCCCAACAAAACTTTTTTGTAAGTAGTGGCTGTGCTAGAAGAAAAATCACATCCTTTGGTTCCACATGAGTGTGTCTCTTTTAATGCATTTATAAATGAACAAAACCTTCATGACCTAATCCACAAAGACTTTTTATTTGCAGTTTTTATTTGTTAATGGATTCAAATTTTCAAAAGACATTGGGCACCTATATGCTTTATGCCTTTGATTCACTAATTGTTTACTAAGAACATCATCAGTCAGCAAAGCAAGCAACCTCTCAAGTGGTAGAGCTGGAATAAAATTTCCCTTCCTCTAACACAACATTGGCCATCTAGGCACACCAGCTAAAAGGCAAGGATCTGAAAAACATCAGGTAGGTCATAATTGAAGTTAACCACAGGTTATGCTGTTAATAGCATTTCATTTAGAAATTTTTTCACCTTTCCTGCCCTGTTCCTGTAGCGTATCTGTCTGTACTTCAGTTCTTATCTCATACAGTTACCTTCCTTCCAATTATTCCCTCTGTCACATAACTAACTGGCAAAGTAAGAGTTCAGTTAGGATATACTCAAAACAGATAACTGAAGTCAAGAAGTGTTCTGATTACACAAAACAACCTTCTCCTCCCACCCCTCCCAAAGAGGGGAGCAGAAAGAGAAGCAAAAAAAAAAAAAAACCACAGAAAAAAGTAGCACAGCAAAACCAGCTCTGTATGAACCAAAAATGTAAATGGTGGCATTTTCAGAAACAAAACAAAACCAAAAAAAAGAAGAAATAAAATCAATGCTAAAGCAGAACCAGGATAAAGTTTTAATTCTCAAACAAGAAACCAAGAGTGAGCAGTGTCCTAAAGAGCAGTATTTTACCAGAGAAGTTAGGAGTTTTCTACTTCAGTCCCGTATTTTAGAAGCTACAATACACATTTAAGAAACATGACGTCATTCAAATGTATTCCACCTTGAAAAGCAGTGAGGATATTAAGAAGTTCAAAGAAACTCATCCATGAGGAAAGACTGAACAAGCTAAAGCTAGTGCTGAAAAGAAGGGTATACTGAGATCAAAAAGACAATGATTAACAAGTCTCTAAACTACTTTTCAATTTTATCATAAGATGCCTGGAGTTTTATTACATACGGTTAACAAGAACTCACTTCTTTATAAGTGCATTTAAAAAAAAAAAAAAGAAAGAGTTCAAGTATTTTATGCTCACTGTAACACCAGTACCTCAAGAAATGCACCAGAATGTTGTTTAATGTTTTACAAGTTGTAACAGCAAATGGAGTTGGGGAAGAAAGGCTCAAATCTCACCTGGCATCCAAAATTCTTCCCATAACTCTTTGAGAGAGAGGAAAATATGCAAGGAGATGATCTGCCTAGCAATTTTCTAAAAACAAACTCCTGGGAATAAAAAATGGTACCTTGAAAGGATGTTGCCCTGACCCCATAGGTTGACTTCTATGTAGTTTTCTAAGCATGCAATGAATAAATTTAAATTCCTTTTCTCCATTTAAAACAAACAGGCAAAAAATACATGAAATAAAGCCTCTGAATCCTTCTCCAACTACTTGAAGCATCACTGGAAGAAGAAAAAGATGATGGAGAATCTCCAAGCACTGGAAAAAAAAAAAAACCCTTAATTTAGGCTGCTTCCTTCTACTTACGTGCTTAACTATACTTACAATTAAGAAAGTAATCAACTGTTCTCAGTCATAAACATCCTTTTTTTTTTCTTGGCCTTATCCTCAACAGAATATTTTTTACATTTGAAGATTTATTCTCCCATCAATCTTTTTTACCCTCTGGACTCCAACTACTTCAGTTTTTCCTCACTGATGACATTTTCTTGACCCCTCATAATTCTCGCTCCTCTGTCTGAATTCTGTCCAAGCAGCCCATATCTTTCTTGGATACTTCCCAAACAGGCAGCTGAGGAAAAATTTTGTTTGAGGCATTCCGAGTACAAAGTAGAGTGGAAAGAAGACTACCACATGTCCCCTACATGACACTCCTAGCTTTTCCAACCCAATATAATTTTTGCAGCATGATGATGATACAGGCTTGTGCTTAATTTACAATCTACTGTAAAACCCAGATCTCCTTTGCAACATTATGACTGTCATGTCCTATCCTATAACAGGCATTTCTTTCTATGCTTTGCACACTACTTTTTTCAGGCTGTTCTACCTAATTTGCTATGATCAATTTGAAGTCTAATCCTGTCCTCAAAATACATTTGCAATCTCTCCCATCTCAGATGCATCTCAAACGGAAGGGAAGTATTCATTCCATTATTTAGGCTTCTAACAAAAATGGCAATTAAAACCCAATTCCAGACATGAGGTCCCTGATGGACCTCATGCAATACATCTTTCCAGTTTTACAGTGAACTATAATTATTCCTTGCCTTCCCAACCACTTTGAGCAACCCTACAGAGACTCCTTGAGGCCATGTTTCTATAGCCTGTTTATGAGAAGTATGTAGGAGACAATGCCAAAGCCCTATGAAAAATCAATCTTTCCCAAACAGACAACGCGGTGCCCCAGTACAAAAGGCTGTCAGACTGGTCTGATAAAAAAAGGTTTTGATAGGCCTTCTCAGTGCTTACAAGTCTGGTTCGTTGGTTAACTGCAATCTCTGAAAAGATTCTTCTCTTCACTGGAGAAGACTTGCATATAATTCCTTCTTTCTTTTATTATGAGAAAGATAGTGGAAAAGAACAGAGCAGCTTCAGCTTTGTCGTTCAAAATTGCTCAACTACCATCTGACACAATACTCACCTGCCTAAATGACATCTGACTTAACCGAATAACCTTCTCCCTTCACCTAGTCTAGCACCGACCAATAGCTTTGGGCATTGGTGTAACCTTTTTGTAACGGTTTAATTGAAAAAGGAAAGACTTTGATCTTGTGTACGTTTCCTTGTATAACAAGCTAACTCTTCTTTCTTGTACTAATTTATTTATAAAATATTTCTTTACTGCATCTACCAGACAAGAATTACATCATTCTGTGCTGTCACCTTTTCGATTTTATTCCTCCTAGTAATTTGACCAGGGTTTCTGCTTTTTGTTTGCTTGCTTGCTTCCTTTCAAAATTACTGATGAGTTATAACTTCTTCCAAATTGACCATTTCTTATGTTTTCTTTTCTTCTTCTATTACATGAAGTCCTCCTTTTCCACATGATTTTTCACATCAGTTAGAGTAAAAAAAGTAGTATCTTTTTCTAAAAATTACTCAATTTTTTTTAAAGCCTAGATGCTATAGTCTTTAATCCTGTTGTCCTAGATGTCATATGGAAATATTTGTCCGGGCTCCTAAGATAATTGGAAAATAAATTATTTAAAATAATACCTAAGCTTGCATTCTGTAGAAACAGACAATAAACCTAACTTTGCCAATAAGAAGGGAATTATTCCCAGCAGATTACAAAGGTGGTACCCTTTAGATTGGGCCACCAAACTAACAGAGAACCTGAGTGTGGCAGCCTTCATCTGGTCTTAGTGTCAAGAAGCCTGCTTTGACAATGAAGCAAAATAGCATTTCAGTGTTAAATGCTAATTTGACCCCTTAACATGCACGGTATGTTTTTGGGGGACTTCTATACTCAACTTCACCCTCTGGGAGAGGAAGGACAAAGAAGGAAGAGTATGAAGCTGGGGACAGAGAGCAAAACACTAAAAAAGGAATTTGGGAGCTATACAGCAGGAAAAAACCGTAATAGTTGAAAAACTAGCAATTTTTTTCATCAAAAACCAGAGCAACGCTTACCAGATAATCAGCAAAACGCCCTTGTGCTTGTACCTCCAGAGGCTAGGCCAAGCAGCACCCTGCCAAGCTATCCCATTTCCACAGCCTCTTCCCTCTTTTCCAACAGGACTTCGCTGCTAGTTTTCTCTGCTCACTACACCACCAGGCCCACTCGGCCCTGCCGCCCTACACCTCTTTGCCGAAGGCGGCCCTCTCCTCCAGCAGCCCCGGCCCCCCA